CCCACTACCCAAATTGTAGGCTGAGCTGTACATATGCCTCCCCTTCTTATCCATGTGCCTATCCTAACCTCATCGGTTGCACCTACCTTCCACAGAAACCATCGCCTCGAGCGAGACATCACCGCAGAGCACCGAGCCAGCGTATACCAAACACTGACACCCACTTCCACATCCCCCCCAAAAACCCGACAACCGACATGCCTATCAAGTCACGCTGGGAGGAGGAGCTCCCCAACTGCTCGCTCCAGCAATGGATCTTTGGCTCCCCCTCAGCGCCCCTGCCCGACCGCAAGGCCTTCCTCGATGCCGACCGCCCAGACACGCACTTTGTCACCTTTTCCGAGTACCGCCTGCTGGCGAAGCGCATCGCCCTCGGCCTGCAGGCGGCCGGCCTCAAGCGCGGCGAGCGCGTGCTCCTCTTCTCGGGCAACAGCCTCTACTTTCCCTCCGTCTTCCTCGGCGTTCTCATGGCCGGCGGTGTCTTCACAGGCGCCAACCCAGGCTTCGTCGCGCGTGAGCTCGCCTACCAGCTCAAAGACAGCGGTGCCAGCTTCATGGTCGCCGCCGCCGCCAGCATTGACATTGCCGTCGAGGCAGCCGCAGAGGTCGGCATGCCGGGCAACCACGTCTTTGTCTTTGACGCGACCATCCCCGGCCAGGCACCCGTGACGCCGCCGCGCGCCGACAGCAAGGGCACCCGTCACTGGACGGAGCTGCTGGGGCCGGCGGCCGAGGCCGAGGCCTTCAACTGGGTCGAACCCGAGGACAGCCGCACGACGACGTGCTGCCTCAACTACTCGTCCGGAACGACGGGCGTGCCCAAAGGTGTCGAGATTTCGCACTACAGCTACGTTCCAACGGCGCGGGCGTCATCAAGGTGACGAAGCTGGCGCCTGACTACACGACGGCGGTCAAGCGGCACGTCGGGCTCTGCTTCCTACCCATGTACCACGCCTACGCGCAAACGTACTTTGTGGCCAACTTTGCGAGCCAGGGCGTGCCCGTGTACGTCATGCCATCGTTTGACTTTGTCAAGATGCTCACGCATATTCAGCGCTTCCGCGTGACGCACCTCGTCGCCGTGCCGCCTGTGCTCGTGGCGCTGACCAAGCACCCCGTCGCCAAGACGTTTGATCTCTCGAGCCTCGAGAACGTAGGCTGCGGCGCCGCGCCGCTGGCAGCCGAGACGGCAGCCGAGACGACGCGCGTGCTCGGCAAGCCCGACCTGCTGGTGCGGCAGGGCTGGGGCATGACCGAGGTGACGTGCACGGCCATGACGTGGGACCCGACGCGGCTGGACCGCACGACCTCAGCCGTCGGCGAGATCATGCCCAACTTTTCGGCCAAGCTTGTCGGCGCTGACGGCGTCGAAGTTACCAAGGCGCGCACACCAGGCGAGCTGCTCATCGCGGGGCCGGGCGTCATGCGCGGCTACTGGCGGAACCCGAAAGCGACGGCGGAAACGTTCGCCGTTGATGCCGACGGCACGCGCTGGCTTCGGACGGGCGATGTGGCCTACGTCGACTCGTACGGGCCCGGCGGCCTCTTCTTCATCGTCGACCGCATCAAGGAGCTCATCAAGGTCAAGGGCAACCAGGTGGCGCCTGCCGAGCTCGAGGCGCTGCTGCTTGAGAGGACAGACGTGGCCGATGTGGCCGTCGTAGGTGTGACCATCGAGGGCGAGGAGATGCCCCGTGCCTACATAGTCAGAACGCCAGGGTCCGAGACGTCGGGCGAGGAGATTGCGACGTGGCTTGAGAAGAAGGTCTCCAGGCACAAGAGACTTCGAGGCGGTGTTGCCTTTACGGACGTCATTCCCAAGAACCCGGTACGTCCGCTGATCCTTTTGCTGACCGTCCTCTCTGCCATGGCATGATGATGTTCGTTTTTACTGACGTGATCTCGAATGCCTAGTCCGGCAAGATCCTGCGGAAGATCCTTCGCGAGAAGGCCAAGCAGGAAGTGGGTGACCGCGACCCAGCGACCTCGAAGCTTTCATAGGAGGCATGTTTCCAGGAGCTCCGAGTTTGAGAATGCCGCATGATTGCTGAAAGGAAGCCAGACGCTGGTTGGAGGCTAGCATAGAATTGTGAAGGATAACGAAGGACAGGTACATGGGGAAAGGCTGACGAGGAGACGGCGAGGCTGCAGGGAGAGAGGCGGCCGTGGCAAGAGCAAGGATCAGTAGCTCACCGCGGGGAAAGCACGGACCCTTGTACGCAAGTTCCCAGGCCATGCTCGGTCCTTTGGGCAGGCACCTCCAGTGGACGTCCCACGATCCACTCCATGCAGAAATGTACGAATCAGGAAGCAGAAAGCTCTGACGCCGCGACTTTACGTGTTTCTGCTCGCCTCTCAGCCTGCTCGGACCACAGACCAAACCACCACGACCCAGCCATCCTCCCTGCTCCCTGCTCCCTGCTCCCTAAGACTGCCATCTGCTCCTGGCTCCCTGTTTCTATTTCTTTTTTGCAGCCTGATCTAAACACCCTTGGCAGCTCTTCCTCTCCCAATGGCCTGCTAGGTGCCCGAATCCAACTGCACGAAAAATCCTTCAGAGACTGCAATTTTCCCTTTTCCGACGTTTCCTTCTTCAACCGCGCACACTTCCTTTCTCCCATCTCAACGACTCTCTTCATCGCACCTATTGACGCCCATCATGACGTCCAGAAACGCCTTTCACGAGTCTCTGCCATGTAGGAACACATCTCGTCCCAGACTTGTTCGCTCCCTGGTCATGATCGCAACCGACTAACCATCTCGCCGTCCGCAGACATCGACACGGAGCCGACCGCCGCCCAGCGTGCCGACGCCGAGTCCCAGATCGCCACCGAGCTCTCAACCCGCCGGGCCCGCCCCGCCCTCCTCGATCCTCCTACCGCCGCTGCCCGCCGCCCTTAGCTCTTGCCCGTTTCAT